TCACTGAATTGCTCCTCAGTCACTGCTACCTTGCTTTTGTGTCATTGTGTTTGATCTTTCTGATGTTCTTTCATCATTTTATTGTCCACTTGCTTGTTCATTTATTTATGCTTCTATTTACGATTTTATTTACTCTTCTATTTACTCTTTTATTTACACATTTGTTGATGCATTTGTTTATGATTTTTTTTTTTACTCATTTTCTTTACTTATTCGCTTACTCATTTATCCACCACCCGCTTCTCCTCGCACGTTTCTTTTGGAAAAAGGCACCCCAATGCTAACACACGAGGGAAGCGAAGAGCTCGCCCCTCTGGACTGTTTCCCGTGCTCCCCCCTCGAGCAATCCCCAGGAAGAGGTCAAATGGGTAAAGATACCCAATAGCCGTTCGCGAGTGGCAAGTCCAAAGGATATCTTCCCTGATGGTCGGCTAAGCTGAGACAAATCCGGCTAGCACCCCAGTCGAGTGTAACTAATATGATAAACACGTACCAATGCGCACCAATACATTCTCGTCGCCATCTGAAAAGAGGTTACCTCGGCGAAATACCCATCTCCTTGTTGCACAGTGGATACAGAAACGCCACCAGGTCGTACTCCACTACGCGAATTTATTTTTACAAATTTGCAGATCGAGCCGTAGGGACATTTTTAAAGCTCAACCCAACTCCAAATTTTACATTTTAAGGGGGAAGTAAGCCATATGTGCCTGCGCTTCCCTCCCTCCCCTTGGTGAAAAGAAAATGAACATATCTTTTCTGTGACTATTTCGAGTGTAGGGAGTGTAACGTCGAGGTAGTAAGACAGAGAGAGGGAAAAACTGCTCTGTCAGAGGGGGCACAGAGAGACGTGCAAAAAATTGTTGCACATGAATGCTTAAGAGAACAGCCGCGCATACGTGAGAGGGGAGAAAAATCACACCCAGGTGACGCATCGACAGAGTTATTGATCTGGCGCAATTCCGTTTGACCATGCACGGGAAGGCAACAAAGAAAATAAAGACATCTCCCCTGAAGGTATTTTCATACCAGTTCGATAGAACAAAGAGGAGGAAAAAAAAAAAAAAAAAAGGAAATGGACTCTAAACGAGAGCATTTCATAGGACAAAAAAAAAAAAAAAAAACCCAAAGAAACATGCGCACATTGAATTATCCCACAGCGTTT